TAATTCTTATTTTAGGCGAAAATATATAAGACAAGTAAATTATGATAATTTGTATACGATAATTAAAAAATATATTATAATGATGTAACCTCTCGGTATTATTTTAATTGTTAACTAAAATTTTAATGTAAATTTATAAAAGTATATACTATACATACTGTACATATTTTATATTGTTGAACATAATGGTTTTCAAGATTATTAAAAATACCATGTGTACGAATAGTAAATGACTCCCACTGGATTTTGTAATCAAGTCGGATAAATTTCTATCTAAAAAAACTTTAGACGCGATAAAATCAAACACTTTTAAGAAAAAAATACTCGACGGTTCTAACACAAGCCAATTGCTTGTTTTACGGGTTTACTCTAGGAAAATAGTTTTGAATACAACGACGGACGATTATACACCAAAAGTATTCAGATAACAGAATAATTTTAGTAATGCTTTTCATTACTTTCAACCGTTAAAAATACTTTGTGTGTTACCATTACTAGCTTTTTTTTTTTTCCACATGCACCCATAAAATACCGAGGGTGGACGCTCCCTGTGAGGAATTACTTCCCCCTTAACCATTACTAGCTTATAAAATCCAAATGTATCAAATTATTGGCATAATGAGATATAGTGTAACTATTTTAAATGAGGTTATTAGTTGAATTTTATGGAACTTAATTTACGAAGATTATCATCAACGCGTTCTATTTACACTACAAAACTTATGGTAAAGTTTTTTAATTAAAAAAATGGTAAATCTAACGTATCGTTATATACTTATAATACATTTTTCTCAGTGTAGTTATTTCGTATTGTCTTTATGATTAAATATGGCGTATAATCAAGGACTCTATTATTAATAAAAATAATATGGAAAAAATGATAGACACTTCGCTCTTTCTTTACCCACAGCCATGAAATAATAACTATTTGCTAGACTTAATTTTATATTAAGTAGCTATGAAAATACCTTAAATAGTATTATTGATAAAATGTGGATTAATATTGAGTTATTCAGTATTCAAAGTGCCACGCAATTTATATAATAAAGTATTCGCAGGTAGTTAAAATTCCCTTTATTATTCGTAAAGTGAGGACACTCCTTACGAAGTGACATTAACTACTAAGCACTCAACAGCAGTGCAAATGACAAGTTACACAACGGTATTTAAACATGTAAGGGACTATGGTTTGATTAATATCCATATAAATATTGTTGTCAACAAGAGTGTCAGTTTTAGAACTGTTCAATAAACTTCTACTCGGCTGCTGCTAATGAGTTATGGGTGAAAAACATTTAAACTGATTGTTGTACATTGCAGTAGTTTACAGAACAGCTTAATGTTCAATAATGAGTAACTTATGTGATGATTTGGCAACATAATAACAAAAAAAACTGGTAGCTACAAACGATGTATAATTATTAAATGGATCTTATTGTTACTTGTTTTTATCGATAATTTGATACCTTTATATATTCACATATGCAGTTTTGATAATTATTTTGTTATATGATCAATGGACAATGACTGTTAAATATTCTAAATTAATATTTTTTTACGTATATATATTTAATATATTCTTTTGATTATTAATAATATCTATTCTAGACAAGCAGTAGGTATCTATCAAAACAATTTGCTAATTAAATTTTATTGTTTGTAACTATTTAAATCTTTTACAAATAATCAATTTAATGATAATTTTAGGAATATTAAGTATTTTATTTTAATTAATAATGAACCATGCAATTTCTCTACCAGACGGGGTTGTGAATTGTTTTTTTTTAAACTTAATACTGATCCAAAAATGTTTAAAATCTGACTTCGATGGTGTAGTACATTTTTAATTTTAATTAGGAACGTATATGACGTTGGCTAAAAACCACAAGATAGATTTAGCAATTTTATATCATACTCGTAAGTCATAACAATAAACAAATAATTAAATATTTTATATTATATTATTTCTTGAAATGTGTAATGGTAGCATAGTAAATTTCTCGTAGAACACGCTTATTGTAATGTAAACTTCTTTTTAATAGATGTTAATACCTATATACTAGAAAATATAATTATATATGTAAATATAGTTATGGCTATGGAATAAATCGTAAATTAATTGACATATTCATTTTTTAACTTATAGCAGTTTGTGTAAAATACAAAACCTAGCAATGTTGTGCGTGGAAATGCAGGTATGATAATATTTATCTATTTATATACATTAATGACGACGTGTGTGGCATGTCTTATGTCTGTTCAGTTTATACGGATCATATGATACAATATCCGGGAGCCTGGCTGCCGTCCTATGGTCTTGTATCCTTTCAACTAAAATCTAAATTCGATCGGACATTTTCTGACCGTAAAATGATGAGGGCACCCGGGTTCAAGTGACAAGTCTCAATTTGAACCAGTGCAGTGGTGTGTTACGTTTATTTTGGTGGTAAAAAATAAGATTATTAATATTGTGACGCCACTTATAAGATTTATAAAAAATTACTAGATAAAAACATAATTTTTGAAAGATATACTTATGACATTCAGTTGTCATACGATATTTTATATGCCCCAATCAATAACGATTAAAGTGTATAATTATAGTTGTAGGCTTATTGTTTTCACTGAAAAGCACTTACTATTATAATATCGAAAGGATTATGTTTTTTATTTAATATTAAGAACGGCGTGACAAAACCCAGACAGAAGAAAATATTAATGCTTACAAAATGTTATCAAACAGTTTAATAATATTCTTTAATCATGTTTAGACTTTAAATGTTTCAAAAATATTACTTACAGTTTTTCTAGTATTATACAAATATGTCTAATGTACTACTTTACAGATTGTGTCAGCTTTGCAAAACAAACTGTGATTCTTTCCTAGATTTTTTATTGACAATATCCTGATATAGTATGAAGTTTTAAAAATCAATGAGATAGTTTTTAGCAGTAAGTAGGAGAATATGCAAATAAGTGTGTTATACAAATATACCCATGACAAATTGTAATTTCCAAAAATGGTATGGGAGTAATATAGAATAATTGTTAAATCCGACATTCTAAATAAAATATACATATATGCATACAAGCAATATTAAGCTTAATAACATTTGTTGGCAGATGATACTGGTGTAATATAAATTAATAACGAATTTGATAGCATAATATAATTGAATTACCTACCATTACTGTTTTTCGTACGTTACATGTATATTTCACACATCAAAGTATATATCATTAATTTGACAATTAATTTTATACAATTGTGAATTGTCATTTCTACTATCATTTTTGACGTGGAGTACACATCTTTTCTTTGTTGTCAGGAACAAATATTTTTTAATAATAATTTCAATAGGTTATTTTAATTATATATATATTTTTTATTAAAAGATTTCCTTTACTTACAATCTATACAAAATATGTATAACCAGCAAGTCTGATGACAAAGATACAGTGACAATAATGTAAGAATAGGAAGGCTTTCAGCAGTGCCACCTGACCATAATAAATTATATTTATAACTGACATTTGTTTAAAATTTAAATTTCAGATTTTTTTAAGCTTCTTACATCAAGATAAAAAAAATGATTCTGCTCATACTTTTTATATTTTAAACAAACCAAATAAGTATAAATCAAGCAAAATAAACAACGATGATCATTAATCACTAGTCCACAATTATTATAATGTATTATACGCATATCGTTTTTGGACAAATATTTTAATAATTTTGAGCGGCAGCTAGCGTGGATTGTTGTTTACAAAGCCTATTTCGAATAAAAAAAATACTTTTGGTGGTCATTTTTCTCCCTATGTCATATTTTGGGCGTGGTTGATCAAAGATCAGAAGACAGGTCAGTGAAATCTTTATACAAAGTCACGACAGCGAGAATAGATTGAAATTAACAATTATGAAATAAGATACTACAGCCTGTAGGCTGTAGCGTATTAGTTTTGTATATTAGTACGCTGACATCTAAAATGTGTTATAATAGCTATTTCAACAGTTTTGAATTGGTAAGACATGAAAAAATACAATGGTGATATATCCACGCGCTAAAACATTCTAATAATATAGACTACCAGGTTAATGATAAATTACACGTGAAATCAAATTACGTGGGCAGCAGACCGTATGGCGTATTAGATTATTTAAATTTATCGGTCATCGTGTAAATTATTTTAAATATAGAGCCACGCTGTAAAAACTCGTTTTCATTATTATGCGGAATTCCTGTAATATTGCTAATATAGAAATATTACACTCATCGCAGCGTTGTTTATTATTTTTAGTAAAATGTTTTGATCACAATACGGTGTTCTTATATAGTTGGTATAGTTTCGTATCAGCTTATGTTTAAGAGGCACTGAATCGTATACTCTCAATAATTGTTCATCCATCGCCGATTTATTTATGTACCTATTTAATTTTTTAGCCGCTTACACTGTCTTCTTAGTTGATAGGTTTACATACTAGTAAGCTTTTATAAGTAGTATAGTTATGTCTAAAAAGGCTAGTATCCCTTTTGGTAATTTGTTGTAATTTATATATTTATTGACCCAACTCATTTTTTCCAAAAAGTGACAATGGCCCTTTTAAATACATAAGGTAACAGATATTATATAACTCATTGTGCTATAGCGTCTTGTAAGCATATGAAAGGCACAGGGGAAAAACGGTAGTTGTCACATTATGAAAATTTTAGAGTATAGCAAAAACAAAGTTCGTGAATTCCTCTCCCTCTTACATAAGAACAAAAAAAATCACATTAAATGCTATTCTAATAAAAAATGTATTTATTTAAATAATCTATTGACATAAATAAAAAAAATGAATGGCATAAATTGAAAAAAATTGTTTTTATTATAATGTGACTACTACCGTTTTTCCCCTGTGCCCTTCATATATGAGTGATGCTAAGTTTGCATGATTTCATAAATAAAAAAAAATTATTTTTATTATTGTTATATAAAATATTATTTTTGTTTTTTAGGTGCCGCCATGGGATTGTCAGTGGCGGGAGACGGGCCTTCGTAGATTTGACGCTGCGAAGGACACCGTCGATTTAGCCAAAGGCATCGCAAAGACTATGGTAATTGACCGGTTACAAAGCTTGATTGCGGTAAGTGCGTATGTTTCCGAATACTATTATAATATGTATTTTCATTTTATACAGTTATATGGTGTCTTATGCCTGTCGATCGAAACAATTGATTTAACTAATTTAGATGTTTACATATTTTTAATTATATGTGTGAAATGTTTACGGCTATTATGTAGTACAACCTATCATTATGTTTTTTAATAATTGTTTATCCACATGCAATAATTTGGTTATATTATACAGCTTGGTTAAATAATTATATGAATTTTTTTCGTCATATTATAATAGTTAAAAACAAAGGAAGTGTTTTTTTATTATACCTTAACAGAAACTTGAAATGTACAATTTATTCTAATAATGTTAAAAGTTTAATGACAACGTGATCTTAGTTTTAATGTCTTTGAGATTTAACTCGCGATAAATAATTTTAGTTTTCTTTTATAGTAATTTGATTCTGTTTTTGATACAGATTTTTGTAGCATTTTAATTATAGTTTATATAATTGCATTATATTTCCAAAAATAATTTTTTGTTGTAAGGAAATATTATGTTGTTCATTTCAGTTTCTTCCATTTTGCTTCCTTATAGTTTCAATTTATTTTACATTTTCTTTCACCTCATCACAAGAATGTGTTTTTCTGTTAAGATGTACTTTATTATTGTTACAGATAGTTGGCCTATCTTTGGTACCTCAAATCTTCCAATTTCTTAATGATAGATGTCTACTTGGCTGAACTAAAACACATATTGTTCTTATCATTAATACCCTATATTCACTTGAGTTAATGTCATATCATCCGTTTTATTATTATTATTTTTAATGAAATAATTTGCTTTATTTGGAATATTGCCAAACCCTACATACATATTAGTAGGTAGTTTCGATTTTCAATGCAATGAAACATTCATTAACACGATTACTATAACAGATCCCGGGCATTAATGAATCGTTAATTTAAGGTGAATGTATGATAACCATCTACGAACTGGTATTTACATTCAAATATATTTATTATAAAATTTACATTTTTCCGCCATACAGATTGTCCAGCCATTTTAGTCCTACATTGTATATGTATATATATTGAGGATAGCATGGCTTAACACCTTGCACGTCTGATGTTGTACTATGTAAAATAAATAACATGTATAAGCGAAAATAAAGGAAAGGTATAGAGGGTGAGAATGAGAGATATGAACGCGTGTAATGTTCGGGTTTTTGTTTTGGCCTGGCTCCATATCTGTGAACTAAAACCCAATGGTGGTGGCTTAAAACCAAATAGTATTTATTATTTTCTTGGTCACTGCGTTTTATCAGAACATCATTGACCAATACACTATACACCCGAGAGATTTTTTACACGGATTAGAACACGTTTCAGATTTATTGGTCGACCGGAAAAAATGATCATTATGACGTATTTGATGTTGTTTAGACCGCCAATAATGTTTATCCGCTCACATAGGGTTATGATGAAATGTTCTTAGTACACTAGTACAATTGACAGGTAGCACCCGTAGTAACCTATAAAGTAGCACCCTCAAGGTCGACGTAAAAAAACACATGACCACTGGAATTCACATCTTTGGTATTTTTAACTGTACTGGTCGTCCGTTTATTTGTCCTGGAAAGTAGATATTTTCTTGCCTATTCTGTACTATCATATTTTGCGTACTATTAGACTCGTGCTGTACACTTATTATTATGTGAGTACATGACCCTTATTGATTAAGATCGATCATATACATGAGGTTAAGTTTAAAGCCGTTACAAACGTTTTTTGAAATACAAATCAGTATGACATTTTTATTTTTACCTACATTCTTATGATTTTGAAGAATAAGAAATTATATACAAGTATGTATGCATATATATTTATATCAGTCATGAAATACTATTAACCTTGTCCACCAGTAATGTATAGTATACATAGATCTTGAGTTTCTAAATCAATAGTTTCTTAAAAATTGTTGTGAAGTTAATTTGTTTTGATGTACCCGCAATAATTATCATATTATTGCGTTACATACTATCAATTTCTACTGCAATGTTTTCAAATGACTGAATGATTATTTTCGCTTCACTGAGTACGTGTAAAGGACAAAGCACTGGAAATAAATGTACCTTAAGTTTTGTCGTCATGATAATATGTTGAAGTATTTATGTAGTTTTTTGAATTGTATTTTTAACTATATAGGTTTATAAAAAGCTTTTTTTTTCATTTCTCATATAAGGACGTTAATGCTATGCTTCGAATGTATGATGAATATAACTTTTAACTGAAACCCGAACAATGTACCACGACTGTAACAATTTAACCGCAGAGAAAAACAAACGATTTGTATAAAATCAAATTACAAAATATTATCTATTCAGTCTTCAACTTAGCTATTTTAAATCATAAGGAAATATTGGCAAAACTTCATTGCTTTCTTTATAATTTCACTGTCTAGACATTTTATGAATCTGCACAACATAATTTTTGTGAACACAAAAATTGATTATAACATCGCCTTTTAACATGCATTGTGTATAGATATTCTATTGTATATTTATTGTTTTTAAGATGACTTGCATTGATTAAACAGTTGGCATACCACATACTCTCTATTTCACAATACTATATTATATGTATTATTGTATACTGTCTTTGATAATTTAATGTACTCTGTACAATAACATATCTTTTTTTCTACATCTTTTTATACTTGTATTGTGTACGTTTTCGGTACTTTTATATAAAATTATAATATGCTTTATAAACTTTATAGCAAACAATAGTTAGGCTAACACAGATCTATAGAAATATTTTGCGCTTCAATACTATCAGTTATGTGTAAATTAAGTAAATTAAGTAAATTTATTTTACAATATTCGTGTACAATAATCTTAAATAATCGTGTTATTATTCTTTTTTTTTAAATAAATAAATAAAAAAATAGGCAAGCTTGCGTCAAAATTGTAAAATTCAATGCACAAGTACATTTCTAAATTACTAAGTAAATAACAAACAGAAGACTGAAGGTCAACATTAATTGGATTCATCATATAATAGTTAATAGGCTTATTTTTAAGGTGTTAGTGGAGAAATAAGGGATATAGAATCATATTTTAAAACGAGTACAGCCAAAGCTAGACGGAACTTAAAAAAGTTTAAGAGAAAAAAGTTTAGGGAACATTAATGGAGCCAAAAATGAAATAACAAAAGAAATAAGGAATAATGCTGACGTTAGGGGAATCGTATTAGTCATGCAACAGACAAGGCATTTTTAACATATGATACTAGTCGAATAGCTTTAGAATTTGCGTTGAACAAGTTTTATCTGAAAGTTATCAGCTACGGCACCTTTAGTCCCAAAAACCTTAATAAAAAAAAATGCTTTACGACACAATGGGGCTTTGTGAAGAAGAAAATGGAAACTTGAACTCGCGAGAAATAATTTTAACAAAATCAAAGATTTTAAAAGAGACTTTTATGTTATTTTATTTATACGAGCAAGGATACAAAATGAAGTCTAATTTTCACTTTTTAAAATAAATTGCTAATATTTTCCATCCCCCCCCCCTTGGGGCAAGTGTTAAGGATTTTGATTAGCTAATATCAAGCTATTGACACAAAGTACCTTAACAAAAATATAAATATATATATTGACCCATTTTAACTATTTTTTGGAAAGTGATATCCTTATATAAATGAACTATTTTAAAATTAATAAAATATGTGCGTTTTAACCGTTGAGAATAATTGTACCTAGTTATAAATTTTAAATAACAAAATATAATGAAGTATGTTTATTTTTTACATGAGAAACAGAAACTCAATGACCAAAACTTATTAAACTTTTTTTCACAGAAAGTACTTTTAAAAGAACGATTTCCGATTGTAGATGTAAATTCGTTATGGTGCATCTATAGATACACAAAAAGTAAAAACACATGAATGTAAAACCAATTTATATTCTAAAATCAGATCCTCATCGAAATCTTACCCCATCGGTTAGGTTGTACAGTGATAAATGATAACTATCTTTTGAAAAATGGTAAGAAGAAAATAATACATTGACAATGTTTAGGTAAATTACAAACATGGTTTTACCCGGTGTTTAATCCTATTACCATGAATTATTTTTCAAGTATATTTTCCGGTAAAATACTTATCATGAGCAACAATAATAATCAGGTTTTAAGAACGTAGTACTATTTTTAAACACGAACGATAGATCACTGAATAGATTAAATCCATTCTATTCAGTGATTTGATATTTTGTAATCTATAAATGGCGGCAATTAAACTGCATCCGGAATAAAATAAACCAAGTCTACTAGAAATTACATGTGATACACGTGTGGTATACACGTAATTTGTTATAATCCGCTCATAAATCGGAATAAAAACGAATATTTGAAAACGATTTTTAAGCCTAATTTTGTACAATGTATATTCGTTTTTCCATGGTTAGATTTTAAGATATTTAATCGGATGATTCAAAAATAATAATTTCTCTTTTATTATTTTTATTATAATAATATGTTCTATTCAGCAATGACATATAAACAAAATTTAATATATATTCGTGCACACCCATGTTTGTTACGCGTTACAAAAAAAAATGTGGTAAAATGAAGGTTGTAATAGTACAGTTTAAACTGCATTGCTGTATGCAAGTTGTACGGTTATAACCTTCGGTATAAGCGTATTTATCGATATGCGTTATTGGTCAATGCTATAAAGTAAATTATTTACCCCAAATATGATGACAAATATTTACTCGGGTTTTAAGTTAATTTTCGGACACTGAGCTGTAAAAAACAAGTGTACATTACTGATTAATGAAATGAAAATATCAACGTATAAACAACCTCCAATATTATATTATTATTTATTGGAGTTATGAGTTGTGTATTGATGTATTGATACTACTTTTATTGTATATTAAGTATAATAGTTTAGTGGTGGGTTTAATATTTATTATAGAACAGTGGAGTTTGTGAGAAACAGTTGCAAACTTTTCTTTGTATAATAAGTGAGGAACGTGTATTTAAACTTCATGATAGATTTCAATGTTTTACAAATTCGAATTTTAGATTACGAAAGTTTTTTTGTGTTTGAATAATAGTCTTGAGTTCATAGATCGTGCGAGAAGGGATTCTAGATCCAGTCTTGATGAAGTCACATTTCATAGTACTATTTTTTATTAAGTTTTTTATACAAAATTTATATTCAATAAAAATTGATTTTTATAATTAATTATAAAATATTTTAAATATCTTGTAAATCGCAATGCATTTAGTAATTTATTCTATATATTGTTTTAAGTGAATCTAACTTACTCTAGCAAGTATACTTGTAATACAGACACTATCTTATTCGCCAGCCAATTTTTCAATTGGAGAAAATACTTATATTTTTAATCTATTATAACTTTATTAATAAAATCAATAGATAGAAATTTGAATGTTTAATATTCCATTTTACATATTTTTATATGAATAGATTTTGTGAATTAAAGCAATCCACATTGAGCCTAACGAGTAGGCGGGTTTTGAAGTATTTTTTTTTTTTTAGTATGTAATTTGTACAATATAAGTAAGAACTAAGAATATTATAGTTGTTAATTAATGGAATATGTTTTTGTTTTGATATTTGTTTCAGGTGCTTATCACAGTTTTTGGCGTATTGCTAGCGAATTCAGCTACTGAAACTTATCTTCCTTCGGATTGGGCAAACGATTCGCATCGTCAAAGCAATAACAAAAGTCTAAATCAAGACTGGTGAGACTTTCTTAATTAATTTTGAGCTTTTTTATCCTCTCGTATTTGTTTTATACATATGCTATAGATTTATAAATATGCTTTGAATTTTAATAAATAATATATTAGCAATTTTAGGATAAACTAATTAAACATTGACGCTAGAGTTTAAATTTCAATAATTAATAGCAATCTAGAAATCTAAATGTTAAATATTTTATAATTTTATAATATTGTACAATTACGGAAATAAAAATTGTCCAATAAGAAAACTAAATAATGTAGTTATGAAATAAAAAATTGTGTTTTACGTTTAATATATCATCATGTAAAATATCCTAAAAACCCCGCGACATTCAAAATTATTAATTTCACTAGCAAATAGTACAATGTTTAATGCATTATTAAAGAATAATGCATTTCATTTTCTCTTTTATTTCTTTAATAGCGTCTTTTAATGTATTTTTAATTAGTTAATTATTTTCTCTTTCTTTGGTCCCAAACATAAATCTAATTATAAATGATTTTTTTTTTTTTTTTAAATTTAAGCACAAACTATTTATTTCTACAATTATAAGCTAAAAATTAATGTGTACAAACTGGAAGATATTTACAAGTATAAATGATGATTATTTTATTTAATTCAACTATCTATGTAATAATACATTAAAATTTGTTGGGTTGATTTTAAGTAGTAGAATTGATTATAAATAATATAGATAGCCCACTAGCATGTATTTTTTGCTGCGCGTAAATTGTTGCCGTTGTAGAGCGCTTTATACTGTTTTTAGTTATGGCGGTTAGTACCGTGAGCGCTGACGATCGACGCGCACGCGCAATACTGCCAGGAACCACCTAGTGCGCTTGCGCATCGATCGTCAGCGCACACGGTACTAACCGCCATAACTAAAAACAGTATAAAGCGCTCTACAACGGCAACAATTTACACGCAGCAAAAAATACATGCTAGTGGGCTATCTATATTATTTATAATCAATGGTAGTAGACATAAATATTATGTAACTTCATTGTTACACATTTAATAAAACGAAATAACTATTAACTTACATTAATTTGTTTATTTATGATATACATTAGTATGTCCATTATTTTCATAAGGTTTGCTGTTTCTTTTTTAATGATCAAAAATAGACCCTTTGGTTTTCTGCTGTAGTTCAATATTTACGTGATCCAGTAATATAGTATAGCACATTAAAATAAGAAACATTAGGTTTTTTAGTGTTTTTTTATCACAAAATAAATCTAAGAATTCATAATCCTGTGGGATGTAACTTGCGTACATTAAACACGATTTGTATTATCTAATTTGATACATGATTTGTATTATAAATTAAAGTCAATAATGTCAACCTCAAGTGCATGATGTATTAAAACTTTAAAAACATTCGCTTTGTGGATAATATCCATAATTTATCTTGTAATAATTGAAAATCACTGATCAACGATAAAAATACTTACCTCGAAAATATGTTAACAAAAAATGTTGTGTTGTATAACCTCCGTTCTTGTCTCCGAAAAGAGAAATATTGGCCCCTGTGTAGAAGACAAATTTTCATTCTATTAATTTGAATTTATTATTTATTTTTAACTCAAATATTTTGAATCACATTTAAATGAAGTGTTTTGGTACGTATTTAAAACATACTTTCAAAGTTTCTCATAAGTGATCGCTTTACTATGTAGTAGCAAAAGTAATTTTATAACAATCACAGAATTGTTTTTGATACTTAAAATCCCTATAAAAAAAAAGTGCTCTTAGTAAACGAATGCGTTTGTGAAGCTCAAATATGTCGTGCACCCAAGGGTCAATAATTAACATTATTGACTTTATATTTACAAGAGAGATAATACAAATACAAATTGTGTTTAATATACATCATCATCAAGCTTAACAGGCCTTTAAGGCCCAACGCTGCCATCATGAGATGGTTTCTTGACGAATTTCGCTTCCGGGACGGGTCGTCAATCCGTCACCGGAGAGAGGGATGGCGGTTCCTTTTTATCGGACGATTGCTCGCCCAGCAAACGGAGCGCCTGTGGCCGAGTGTTGAACCGGCGACAGTGAACGCTAATACACTGCCGCCTTACCCACTCGGCCACTCCTCCTCCTATCATTCGTTAAATTCGAAGAGCTATACTAGTCAAGTTAAGTTCTGTTAAGTACATAAATCGAAATTTGTAGGTCAGTTGGCGAAGAAACGTCGTCGTCATCGTCTTTAGAAGTGGACGTAGCCAATCACCGGTGGTTGTCCAGTCATAGAAGTCAAGACTACTTGCTAATGAGACACGGCCACGAAGACTGCTGCCCTTCGCAAGTGGAAATGATCGAACCAAACGGTGGCAGTAACCCCCAAGGGTTGTACGTTGAGCTTTACAGGTAAATATCAAATGATCATGCACATTGTTTGCAAATCGATTATAATGGGTTCATCATTCATATTCTATATGACGATGTTTTCAAACGACATGAATAACATTGTACTAAGTATATATCACTGCAAATATAACCACTGTATTTTGAGATAATTATTTTTTAAATACCGCATTTGACAGCAAACGGTTTGGTCAGTTCACCATATCGTTGTAAATGTTGCGATAGAACCTAATCTCAACAACGGTTATAGGCTATAGCATATATTATGAGTGTATTGTAAGTCGGAATACTCTTGATTTTTTTCAGAGGATTTTCGGAACATCTTTCTTAAGCTTTTTCAAAAATTAGATTCGATCAGTAATTATCGAAATTACAAGTAAACAATACATTTTACGTACTTATTAATATTTAATTAGATATTTGAACACAAATATTAATATTTAAATACAAATATTAATATTTAAATACAAATATTAATATTCAAATACAAATATTAATATTTAAATTAAGTAGTTTTGCATAGGTTTATTTTGTAACATGTTTTAAAGTTTGCTTAAAAATGTATTATTAAATTCCATGTATTTTCATGTGTGAAGTTTATTATAAGATCAGGTAGCAGTAGAGAGCACTAAACAACCATTATATAGATAATTAAAAAATCAAAGGAACTATGACCAACCATAATAACAATCATCATGTCTAAATTTGATGAAGATATTATGCTTATTTTATGGTTTATCTTGTTTAATAACATTATATGGCAATTGGCACTTTACATGCATACTAAGAAGTAAATGTCTTCTATAGTTCAGACAAACGATAGCGTCACCGTTCTTATATATAAGACAACATTGACATGTTCCACGCTGATGGTATTATCACGTCTTTAAATAATTTAATTGTTTTTTTTTTTTTTACATATTTTCCAATTGAACCAATTGCTTCAGTTTAAGTATTAGACCTTTCTATCTTTTTTCAACTATCTGCTACAACTAATAGTATGATGGCATGCACTTTTTCATTCTTTAACATATTTATTTCTTTTAAAATTTTTAACAATGTAGGCTTCTTAACTGTAACACTTTTTTCTCTTGACTCACTTTGTATTAGTTGGTTGAGCAGTTTTTTTAAAAGAGGTTTTTGAACTCCCTTGTCATATTGGCCTTACTCTAATCAGTGAACCACCGTCTTCGCCTTCATGATTGTTGTTCCGGTTTTGAGCCCGATCTTAATTTCATTAGCTTTTTCAATGAAATGTATTATCAGAACTTAATGTTTCGTATCTCTTTGCTTAATTATCAAATCTATTTTATTATTTTCACTTCTGTGCGTACTAGATATCTTTATGACAATCGCACATCTAAGTTCTAGTCGTACATGTACATCCGAGGCATATTAGGTTAATTCCTAACCGATTTTATTCATGCGTCGGGTCGTACGACAACCTCCGTTAATTAATGCTAAACTTAATTGAAAGGGTCTGTGCAAAAATCAGATGTCGATATTGTTTTTTATAGAAAAGTTATCCACATTTTAATGCAAAATAAACTAGTTATTTTTTTCGCACCACGGAAAAACATTGAAGTTAGATATGTTTTTGCGGTGTATTGTAATACATATAACTTATCACTTATCTTGTGTCTCTTAACTCTGATATCTCATCTCTTATCACGTATCTATTAGCGTAACGTGAAAATGGCGACATGAAATTCCTTGTTTCCAGTCCAATAACATATCCATGTTAAAAGAGTACTTAACCATTACTTAAAAATGTAGAATTTTTTCCCACCGCAACTGTAGTAAATAGGATAAAACATTTTCAAAACATAAAGCTGTCATGTTTTTGTACTGTCTCCTTTCAGTTAGGGTCCGTTGTGTTGTTACACACGACGTTACTCCAAAGAGTTCCCTAGCGGTTGATATTTCAAGATATTAAAAGAAAAAAAAATTACATAAATATTTAAATTAATTTTTAAGCAATTTAAGTAATGTATTATATGTTATACATATTGTAAGCTAGGTAGGTATCATACCTAATAATCCAATATTTTAATTTCTGAAATGTGACTATTATAATAAATAATAATAGTATGCAAGAAACCTTGATCTCCTTTTGAACGTTGCATAAATAACCCTTTAACGATATGTAAACAAACATATTTATTTTACACTGTCATTTATTTCATTTATTTTTGTTTTTAATATTAAATATGTTGATAGATTTAAAAGACTTTCACAAAAAAAAAACGTTTTTGAGCTTTGCTATTTACAAAGTATAAAAATAACATCCGCATGTTTTTCGAACGATAAGTATTTTTTTTTACTATTTTAAGTGTTTTGGTTTGAGGTTTATATAAAATAATATTTTTTTTTACTACTGTAGTAAATTATACATTTATATTATTTTCCCTTTGAGCTCTTCTAATTACACGTTTATTTATTTTAATATCCATTAAGTAAATAGACGGTGATAATGCATCTAAAATTCATGAATATATTTGTATTTATTTTTTATTTAGTTTAAAAATAATCTACGAGATTCGTGGAAATTAGAAAGATTTTGAAATTTTCTATCATTGTTACTAACAAGGTGCATTATTCAAGACATTAATTGATAACATAAGAATTCATTATAGTTATTATTTTAATTCGAATTAAAAATACATTAGCGTATATGTATGTATGCGATACTTAAGTATTTCATAATAATGACTATTCTGTCATTTACTATTAATACGATTAATTAACATGTAAGTACAATATAGTTATTATGTTGATTTATTGTTGTCTTTATGAAAACAATATTTTATGCGTGTTATTAATTGGCAACTAATTAAGTGCTAAAGTAGTTTTCTAGTAGTTTTCATTGCCGGCAATAGAATATTATAAACGATATTGGCTTTTATTCAACTACAAACATGGAAATTCAGTTACCATAATAATATTGTAGTCTTAATTTAAAATCTAAAATAATTAATCATTGCGAGTAAAATATTATGTGTTTCGTAATTTGTATTTAAATTGAATTAACATCACTTGTATTTTGCTACTGACAATTAATAAACATATTCTTTTTCTATACTTGTCAATAATAGTCAGATGCATTTTGCAATACAAAATATTATTGCATTATTGGTTTTGAAATTTTGAAATATTTAATTGCTTTCAATTTGCATTTGAATAGTAGACAGAATTGTTATTTTTATTTATAAAACGCATATAAAATTGTAAAAAATCATACATATATTTTATATAAAATAAATTGTTAACACTTAACTCTTAGATTGAAAATCTTATCTGTTTTTTACAAAAGAGATAAAATTAAATACTTGTACCACAATAATAAGTCATATTGGCTATTGGTTGATTAATGCGCATTATTTGGAAAACATTTCACAATTGTAAATAATATAAAGTAGATTTCAGGCATATAACCGTGGTCGTATCATTTTTTGGCAAACATTTGATACTGCTACATAATTTAAAAAATACCATTAGAAATCACGCGTATTGTAACACTTATTTGTAACTAATAAGTGTAGGAACTAGGAATACAATAGCATTTCAGAAAATAAAGTTTTATAATAATAATAATTCAAAGATATCGATATTTTATTGTATACACATTAGTAGTATCGGACACATATTATATACATATCATTTGTAGTATATTATTGATTCTCAACATAACCTTCGAATTTAAATTCGAAATGGAATTTCCGCCGCGGGCATTAATTATGCTTATTCTGGATGTTAAATTTACAATTATATTTTTGTAAATCGACGGTAAAACTGCCCACAAATTTACGATTTCCATTTACGCTTCAGCATTATTTATTATAATTAACGCTATGAAGAGATATAATATTGAAAACAAGTTTAGATGCAATGGAATTGCTTAAATAAGTATACAAATAAATTTAGTAATTACTTTTATTACTTCCTTGGGTATATTCATTAATCATTATGCATTGAACTGCTAAAGGGATTTTTTTAAGTGCGGTTTACGTGACGTTTTATTACTTACATTTAATATTAATGTTAAAAAAAATCTTATTATATATTAAAATACGTACAATACAATTAATTTATTTTATATAAAATTATTTTCTTTATTTAATGCAAATATAGAATTTAAAAATATAATATACGTTATTTCATAAGGTGTATTTGGTGCTTAAAATATAAGCAATTTATAACTCTTAACTTAGTAAGGAATATTATATTTCATTATTTTAGTTTTGGTTCTTAACACAAATTATTTTATAACCTTAATTTAACATAACAATTAAGAAATAAGTAATTTATAAATTAAATTTAAATTTACTCCACTTGATAACTGTTAATATTTAGTATTGTATCAGATAAAATAATTATAATAAATCAACGTTAGATAAATACAATGATAGAAAACCACATTTTGGGTCCGTATAAATTATTTTCTGCTTATGATAAATGAAGTTGTAGGTAAAAAAAAAAATCATACGAAAAAAAACACTAAATTCAATAATATGAGTCGATGACGTTTTTATTTCTCTATCACATAATCATACTGAATCCTGTGTTATGACAACACAATACATCGAACACTGACCATTTTTTTTTCGACATTATCAGCACAGTGAAAACCATTCTATCAGAATTTTTCAAAGGTGTACCCCGCATTCAAATCTATCTCCCCCCCCTATAATATAATATGGTAGTATTTTAAAGTAACGTAAATAATATATTAAAGATTATCGCATTGTCTGGTTTATTATTTACTGTAACTATATTAACTATTAATTGCTTTTTAAATTACAAATAATAATAATACTTATAGTTATTTCAGTCAAATGTTTTTATACTTTTTTTAACTACAGGTGTTTTCTTTTTTATACATAAATATCTACATTGTTGTGTCGATAGAAAGTTGAAATAATCCAAATTAATTATTTGACGTCATTAACTAAAAGCCAATATTTTTTATTGTTACTATTTATTCTTGATTCAAATACATCTATCGTAAAATTAATTTGTCTTACAATCATTCGGGTTTTCTTATAATAAACCACTCGAATAAAATTTTAATGCTATGTTAAATTGATGGAATTGTTGTAATATCATAATATACTTTTCTAGTCTTGACTTTCAGTTTATTTATGTGTAACACACGTATAGATTAATAGATGAACAGTTTTTGTGGCAAATATTTGACTATCATCTTCTGTATATAGAAAATGACAAATTTACACGAGTGGGTTCGACTGTTAAGATACTTAGTACATTAGCCAATTAACGTCTCAAGTGCACTTATCACACCTGGGCACTATGCGGTCGATATAATGTTACCAAATGTTCATGAGTAAATATTAACTTCATGTTATGTTTTCGGCTTTTATAGCGACGGGACGGACAAACAGAGATTCTACGAGGTGTCGTGCAAGGAGGGTGTCGAGGGAAAACCTTGCTTGTTCATGGAACGCAAGCTGCACAACCATTCGGTTTGCGAGCAGAGGTATTCGTATTCGTACGCAATCGTCCGTGAGGGGAACGGCCGTCATCACCATAACACGTCGAACGGCGGGGTCAACAAGCAGTTCCCTTCGCTGTTCCCCAACGACAACAACGTGTGGAAGTTGGACTACATCCAGGTGCGCAGCGGGTGCGCTTGCAAGGTGCAGACGCCGATAAAAAAACAGAAGCAGAGAAGGAAGCAAAACAAGAGGCCGCAATGAAGCCGGCCGGCCGCCACCGCAGGATGGTCCAGCACGGTGTGTTCCGCGAGTCCTAAGATAACAATATTTTTATTGTTGTTGTTGTTATTACTATTACTACTACTACTACTACTACTACTACTACTACTACTACTACTACTACTACTACTACTACTACTACTACTACTACTACTATTATTATTATTATTTTTATTATTTACTAGTATTTCAATACTAATATTATTATGCGAAATGTTATAAAAAAATAACCCACAAAAAGCAAAGAAATATTTAGCCAAATGCTTTGACTAAACCATATTGGGTTAGTTGGGATCACGATGTTGGTTTAACCTTGAAATTATAATGTAGTGTATGTGATAACATAAATATTGTTTTACTGTTCTTACATTTTTATTACATTTGGTGCAAACTGCTATTATAATCATTTGACGTAGAGGAATTTCATAAAAGAAAAACTTGCTATTATATACGTTTAAAATTACTTCATCTAATCGCGATGCAAACGATATTAACTTTCGGTTGTCGCGTGTAGATTAAAAACAAGTGTTCTGAAACGAATATTCTGTCGCTAAAACGTGTTGACGTGTTAACTGCTATGCATTTTAAATAGTATTTGCACATTTAGGCGTTTCTAACCGCTGACTATGATCTATAAACCGGATCAAATCTATCGCAAAAGCACGCCGATGTCGTCGATCAACTTTTAAGTTAATCTTAATCAAAACAACAACAATAACAATCATAATAATACAAATATTTTAACACTAATTCCATTCCCTCTTTAAATAAATATGGGTGATAACTAGGTACTATCTGGCACGATAGCATGTATATCTGACATGCCACAGATATTCACCCTTATCGGTTGTCTTATAAATTTGTTTGTTTGTTCTATGCATCATAATCATTTTTTAAATTATTATATTTTAAGTATATGTATTTAGTCATTCGGATGTTACCTTAGGCTTATACGAATATATAGGTAATATTATATATTAAGTATAATCATGACTGCTGCGCACTGTCCGCGAATTTCGTTGACGAGTTACCTAAACTATTTCGAATGCATACAATTTAAACAAATGTATTTTTATGATTTTAATAAAGCACTGTATATAATATTTACCTACGTAACCATTCACCAATTGCATCCAGTCGATTACCGGCAATAATGTTAATTCTGTATTTCTGTATAATTTATATTACGTATTAACTATTTGTTTATTATTATATTGTAATGTACTAGATATGTTTTTATTCTTTACATAAATACATTTTTTTCTTTTGTTAATTATTGTTCCGTATCATAATAGTATACTGTAAAGTTATATATATTTTGTATATTTTATGTTGTTTATTTATTTATTTACTACTTAATGAAAAATATTTTAATACATTTTAAAACATGTTTTTTTTTCCATTTGTACTTTTGATGTTTCTCAATACATTTTTGTTAATTTTATACACTAACGATCCATTAGACTGTTTTGCCACTATTGCATCACTTAAGTATTATGTAACTTATATTACGTCATAATCCATGTCAACCTTATAAAATAATGTATACGAATACTTAATGTATTCAAGATAAATTGTAAATTACTGCTAAAATTGCTTTTATAACTGTTAAATGTAATACCAATTTGATTATATTCATAAAACAAATACAACTTGTCTATATACCGCTAATGTTTGTCTACTTTACTATCCTCCATACTCAGTGGCGTAACTAGAGATTAGAACGCCCTACAGCAAGACCTTTTTTCGCGACTTTGTTACATATTAACGTATATACAGGGTGGGGCAAAAGATATGCATCGGTTTTGAAGGGCTGCAAAAAAAAAATATTTTCAACTTAAAGAAATGAGGTTTATACTGTTCGATTCAGTAGACAGTCTAGTTTCTGACATCAAGTTTTAAAGATTACATCACTAAGATAGCACGCAGGCCAACCACGTCTCCCCTCAGAGAGACCAGGCGCTCAGGGAATATTTGTCTCAATTTCAAACCCGCCCGCTTACCAGATTTGAGCATTTGCGACTTTTTTCTTTGGGGATACCTAAAGGAAAAAATTTTAAACATCGTCCACACAACTTGGAAGAACTTAGGATGAGAATTAGGGAGGAAATAATAGCTATATCCATCCGAATGTGCCAACAAGCGGTAGAAAACTTTAGAAATCGCCTTCAAGAGTGAATCGCTGCTGACGGTCGCCATCTTAGTGGTGTAATCTTTAAAACTAGATTGTCTACTGAATCGAGCAATATAAACCTCATTTCTCTAAGTTGAATAGTTTTTTTTCTGCAGCCCTTCAAAGCCGATGCGTATCTTTTTCTCCACCCTGTAGTAAACCGTACAAAAACGTCCTAAATTAGAATGCATCCTGGGGCTGCTTCCCCCCCCCCTTACCCACGGTAGCTACACCACTATCAAAAGTATTCTTACAAATTGATATTACTAGACATTAATATTTTTCAAGAAATATATCAACCTAACGGATAATAATGGGTTTTTTTTTTGTCGAATACAAATAATAAAATTATTTCATTAAGAAAATAGTTTTGTCAAATAATATTTTTTTGTTTTTTCTAATTAAAAACAATTTTGCTGTAAACGAAAATTTTTTGAAAAATGCAAGATTTTTGAAAACATTAAATTTTTTTAGAAAATTAAATGTTTTGTAACATAGTATAATTTTTTAGAAAATACCTTGGGAGTAATTTATTTTTAGTTTACATTGTTGATCTTATAAGAAAACCAGGAAACTTAAGACACTCGTAAAATAAAATCCCATAATACTCCTGGAATAAAAAAAATAGTTAATTTTAGTCACGTAAGGTGAGCAAAATTTGTATACATTTTGCAGTTTTAATGAGTATTTGTATTGTGTTTTTAGCAATTATTAGTAAATTTACCAAATATGTGTAATATTGCTTAATTAATTAGACGTGAATAAAACAAATTAATTTTCTACTAAAAAAAACATCATATAATCGTCTTAAAATTCACATTAATCTCACAACATGAACGTATATATATTATTTAACAATTATAGAACATAATATATAATACAGCATTTATTGGCGTTTAGTTCAACCTTCTTGTGAATCAAGAATAATATACTATACTACTTATATAAAGAATAACACGTCTGTATTAATTATTTAAATTAACTAGTTACTAGGTAGATAGACACTGAAGTTCAAACGACATTGAAGATTCAATACCTACTACTTTTTGCTAAAACTGATATGTTCACTTTGTATATTCTGTACAATGTTACCATACCAACTAAACGGTTGCATTTTGAACCGTAGGTTGATTTTAAATAACTTTACTTATTTTTATTTCAAATAGTATATAACAAAATAGATTTTAAAAGTTCCTAAAACAACATGACAACAAACGATACGGATTCGGTGAAAAGCAACGATTCTTCTTTGGACGTATTAAGGTTATTCAAAATTCAGCCTAACCATCACTTTATCACCAAGCAGGACTTGTCCAAAATTTACAGCAAATTACCAATTTCGGAAGTGGTAGACACTAGTAACTGCGTAATCAACCATTATTACACTTGGAATTCACCGAGTACTAACGCTCCTTTTCACAAGTACATACAATACGATTTGTCATAAAATAATAGACAGTATAAAAAAAGACAATCACTTTTAATTACATAGTAATTTCATCTTAACTCATTTTGGGTGTATTATCAATACATTTTCGGTTTATTTTATAATAAATAACTTAATAGTTAAAAGTATTTGCGAAATGCATTTATTTTTGTAGACATTGTTAGGCCGTATTCTTGTAATACTATTATTGAAAAAGGCTTTTGATATGAGACATTTAACGATGTAGAACTTGAAGCCAGTCTTGATTAGTATTTTTAACTCTGTGTAAAAACTATATGTATGATGTGTGTGATCAGTGATGAAGTCTGATATTTATTGATTAATGATTTAATTTTCAATAATATAATATTTAAGAGGACGTCACGTTTATCATTTTTAAGGTAAAAGCAATTGTCTTTTGAATGTTTATTTAAAACTAAAACTATATGTACCTACATGTCAAAGACCCGTTCAAAAAAACAGTATGTTTTAATTTTCCAATTAAAAATCACTCATCAGTTTGGAAAAATTTTAAAACTACCAAATATACTACAAACAAATTAAGACGGTTAAATGCGTTTGTGGAAAATTCTATTATGGTATTATATTAAAGTATAAAATCTTAGCGATTTTTTAACTGCATTTTAGTTGCTTAATAATTGAAAAAACCAACACAAATCTGACAGTGTACAAACTCTTTTTAAATAGTTATAGAAAAAGACCGAATTAAACCATGTCGAATAAAAACCGTAGGAGTTTTTCCCGCGAATGGCCTTTTTTAACTAATATAGCTCATAATATAATATAATTTAAAACAATAATATTCTATAGAAGTTTACATCAGTAAAATTTTGTCATAAATCTATGAAGATGAGACTTTTTTTTAATAGATCTAAAATCGATAATGAGTAAGCCATTTAAGCTTTGTAGATTATAATATACTCTTTATCATACAGCTTTAACATAAATTAATGTTTTTTTGTATTATATGTAAATGTGATTACTTGGGTCCTGAAAATGTGGGGAATAAATGAAATAACTGGTCTAAATTGTTATCTTTCACTAATTGACTAATACATTTATTTAATGCCGTGCACTTGATTTTATAAATTGCTGTCCTAACTACAATTTTATAAAAATGTGTTGCATAGTACTTTTTTGTAACAGCATACCACAAACATATTAATACATTTTTGTATTTCATCGTAAAAAGTTAATTATTAGTATTTCACTACGTAATTGGGTATTACACTGATAGTTATGAATTATAATTACAATGATGGTATGGACATGCTATTTTGTAACTAAAATAAAATCACGATTAAATTTATAAATTATTAATTTTTAAAATTTTTTTTAAAAATTTAAACAACATTTATATTTATATATATATCTAGAGTGACAAGGCAACTACCTGAATTTAGCTTGCTAACCGCGTGTTGGTGCGATTGTATGCAGCCATGCATCCGCCACAAATATTCCTTTAGAATGTTTTTATATTTAGGGAGAGATCAGATATTATTATGTCATTGCATTCGGCCAAAAGGGCATCGCGTTCCAACAGTTTTACCAAGTCTCATCGTGTTCGAGACATCGTTTCTATGTGTTCGGATGTGGCAGTAGCACCTTGGGCCCCTGAAGAATACTCGTACTTGAAGGACGATACCGAGCCCAACGTGGACACCACCCAAAGACATTCGCGTGATACCGCCGAAGAAATTGCAATTCCCGAGTGGATGATATCCCCAGCGAGCAACATATCGAGTTCTTTATTAACTGATGCAGCTCAAGACCACCAGCAAGTCCATAGGTGCGAGTCGTGCGAGGCTGTCGACGGACAATCGGACGTGAGTAACGACACCGAATTGGTAGTCGGTCTCAAGCACTCGGACAAAAAACAAGCCAAATGGAAAAGAAAATTTAGCAAGATATTTAGAAGGAACAAGTCGAATTCAACGACTGTACTTGGCCGACCGTAATTTTGTTGCTTATCAAAAACAATCGATAATGTTAAATATATTCCACATTTAATTCTATCTAAGAAGAATTGTTATAAGCAGAGCAGCGCCTGAGTGGGGAGGAGGGGGGGGGCAAACTGTGCTAGCTCTTTGCTTTATTTATAACTTAATTTCATTCTCCATACCTTACATGGTATTCCCAAAAATATAAATGTGGTAGATTATACAATGTGTTAATGAATGAATCTAATGTATAGACTATAGTATAAAATTATTAGGTAATTAATAGTTTTTAAGGTTAGCGTAAATTTATACTAGTTTTTTTATTTGATATCGATTGTACAAATAGTTTCCTATTTGTATTAGGTCTTAAGATAGTCGAAAGGTATAGTTAAAAAAAATATATGACTAATAGGGAAGAGGGGGGGTACACTAGATAGGTGATTATGGTCTGTTAAAAACCCGTTCTTGAATATTAAGAGAATAGTGGATATACTAATGTTTGATATTTAGGAATGTGGTTTTTAAAATGTTAAAAAAAAAATCTTCGTCCTATATATATAACACAACGTTATATAATACAATTAATTTTAATTTCGATAGTAGACACAATTCAACTTAATGACAAATTCACCTGATACGTATTTAATAATGTTGTTGAAATTAATTTGAGCTAATAATTAGTTGCAAGTGTAATAATTAGTAAACTTTTTTTTTAAGTAAACGAAACTGTTCTTAAAAAATAAACTTCCACAATTGAAAAATGTTGATTAGCTTAAATCTGTAATAACTGTGAATAACTGTGTAAGTCGATTTCAGTGATTTTACAGGGGAGCGATTTTAAACTTGAAAAAAACCTCTTGGGTACCTCTAAAGTATTTATCAATGTAAGAGGACATTCAAAAATCAAATGTTTTTAATTAAATCATACAGAAATATGTAACAAATTTATATTATAGAACTAAAATCCAATTATTTTGAATTCAAGTATTTTTGTAAAAAATTGTATTCGTTAAAAATAATACCCTGAAGTTTATAAAAACTATCCTGATATAATATATGTACATGATCGAAATTAATAAAATCCCTTTTTTCTTAAATATTGCCTATATAC